CAACGTTCGGGCCCCTACAGCAGCAAGTCAACCAAGCGCAGCAACCCGGAGAACTTCGAATAGGACCATCATGGCCTCCAGCTCCACAGGCATAACGATGTGGCAGTGGAACTGCCGCGGCTTAGTCAAGAAAAGGGCAGTTGTCCAGCAACACATTGAGCACGCTGCGCGCAAGCCCGACGTGCTCCTACTCCAAGAAACGCTAACGGAAAAGCCGTCCCTCCCCGGCTACAGGGTGCACGCGGGCCCGTCCGACGGCAGAGGTCTGTGCACCCTGGTCAGGAAGGGTCTCACCTTCGTCGAACATCGACTAAGCAACGTCAGGATCGAACACACGCTCACCGAACTCATACCGACCAAGCAAAGAAAAAACAGCATCTTCATTTTGAATATCTACAGTAACCCATCGCAGAGACTGCAGAGGTTCAAAGCCATTCTTCACAAGGCAAGCACGACGGCCGGCCAGAGCACGCTGGTCGCGTGCGGCGACTTTAATGCTATGGATCCGGCGTGGGGCTACGTCAAGAGTAATGCGAAAGGCAGAAACCTATCCCACGATGCGGCGGAGCTCGACTACACACTCATAACCGACCCGGCTCTCCCAACGAGAATGGGCAACTCCGTGTCCCGAGATACCACCCCTGACCTCACGTTCGTCAAGAACAATGAACCGATCACGATCACGTGGAGGAACACGGGGATGGACCTCGGCAGCGACCACATGATAGTGGAAATCGTCATACCGGAGCAGAGCAGTGCTAATGTCAGGAAACATACGTGGATCGATTGGACCGCATTCAGAGATAACAGAAATCAGGAGGCGGAAGAAGAGACCGAAATTGATGACATCGAAACATGGACCAACAAGATCATTCAAGACGTTCAAAACTCAACCAAGAACATAGAAACAGACCTCGAAACGAACACAATGGACAGCCGACTGGCACACCTCATCGAGGCCAAGCAGTCCATACTCAACAGATGGAAAAAGCTACGCCTCAATCGTAGGCTACGGAAAAAAGTCGCAGAACTTAACAGGACAATCGAGGAATACTGTCGCACGCTATGCGCCCAACAATGGGACGAGATATGCAACGCCGCCGACGGACAGATGCATAACGGGAAAACGTGGAACTTGCTTAGGCATCTGCTCGACAAAACTAAGACTAAGTCACACCAAAGAGACCGACTGGCGAAACTCATCCATCGAGAGGTCACTAAACACGGAGCCGAGCATGTGACGAAGCGCATCAGCGACAGATACCTGCCGACTACTCCAACGGAGTGCCACGGGCCGTACGGGGGGCTACGCAACGAGCGTCTTGACAGAGACATAGACGTAGAGGAGGTTCGCACGGCGCTGCAAGACCTCAACAGCAAGTCGGCGGCCGGACCCGACCGCATCACCAACAAAGCACTCAAGAACCTCGACGACAAATCCATCGAAAGTCTCACGAGCTACTACAACAAATGCTGGAAAACGGGAACGCTGCCGACGCAGTGGAAGAAGGCCAAGACTATCCTGATCCCCAAGCCGGGCAAGCCACCAGACACCGACAACCTCCGACCCATATCGCTCACGTCTTGCATGGGCAAGGTGCTGGAGCACGTCCTGCTCAAGAGGTGGCAGGAATACCTCGAGAAAGAGGACCTCTACCCGGAAACGATCATCGGCTTCAGGCAGCACCTCAGTACCCAAGACGCAATGATTCAACTCAAGCACCAGATCATCGACGGCAACACCAGCGACAACAAAGCGATATTGGGACTCGATCTGCAGAGCGCCTTCGACAAGGTGAAGCACTCGGCGATCCTATGCCAAGTCTCGAAACTCAACATGGGAGAGAGATCATACAAATACATCAAAGATTTTCTCACGGACAGAACTGCCGAGCTCAGAGCGGGGGATCTCCAAGCGCAAGAGAAGAAGCTGGGAAGCACAGGCACACCTCAAGGATCAGTCATCTCGCCGATGCTTTTCAACCTGGTGATGATAGGAGTGGCCGAAAGGCTCGGAAACATCAAGGAAGTTCGACACACGATATACGCGGACGACATAACGCTGTGGGTGGAAGGGGGCAGCGATGCCCACATCGAATCCACTCTACAGGCGGCTGTCGACGCGATCGAAGACCACCTTGACGGAACGGGGCTCAGGTGCTCGCCGAGCAAGTCGGAGCTCCTTGTATACCCGCCCGTCAAGCACCGCAAACCCAAGAGCAGCCCGAGAAACTACGAGGCAATCAAAGTGAAGAGCAGAGAAGGAAACGAGATCCCAAGAGTCACCAAGATCAGAATCTTAGGAATGACGATCGAGACGCACGGCAGAAACGGTGACACTGTCACCCGGCTCATAGCGAAAGCGGCAAACGCCACGAGACTACTCAAGCGAGTCACGACCAAGAAAAGTGGAATGAGGGAAGAGAGCCTGATCAGACTCATCCACTCGTTTGTCATATGCCACGTAGCGTACGTGGCGGCCTACCACAAGTGGAAGAAGAGCGAGAGAAACAAGATAAATATACTCATCCGTAGGGCCTTCAAGACGGCAATGGGACTGTTCGAAACAACGAGCACCAACCGCCTCCTGCAGCTGGGGGTGCACAATACGCTAGAGGAGATAGCGGAAGCCCAACGCAACGCTCAACTCGAAAGACTATCTACGACCAAGGCCGGCCGGAAAATCCTGGACAACCTGGGAGTTGGCTACCAAGGCAGGGAGCGGACGCAGCTCCCCATCCCCGATGAGATCAGGAACAACATCAGAGTGGACTCTATACCGAGGAACATGCACCCGGAGTATAACAAAGGGAGGAGAGCGGCGAGAGCCAGGGCCCTGATAGATCAGCACGCGGCCGACGGACACGCACGCTACGTGGACGCGGCTGAATACGCCAAGCTACACGGTTTCACGACAGTTGTCGTCGACGCGACCGGCACCGTTCGCACGACCGCCAGCACGAGATGCACCAAGGCAGAACAAGCGGAGGAGGTAGCCATCGCCCTGGCCATCGCCGACCGCGACTGCCACACGGTGCTGTGTGACTCGAGGCAGGCGGTGAGGAATTATGCCAAAAGCATGATATCGAAGGAAGCGGTGCGCATACTGCAGTCAACCAAGAACGACGGCGGCAGCAAACAAGTGAGAATCAAATGGTTCCCCGCGCACGCGGGCGAGGCGTCGGATCGAAACGCCAACCACAACGAGACAGCACATGCCGAGGCGCGCGCGCTAACGGACCGCGCCTCGACCGACTGGCCGCTGTGGTTCAGCACCAAGGACCGAATGACCGACTACAACGAGATAACCAAGGCTTTCCGCCTAGCTCGCAGAACTCTCCCACCACCTTGCTCGGGGCTCAGTCGAGAACAAGCCGTTTTATTTAGACAGCTGCAGACGGGCTCACTCCCCAGCCCGTTGCTGATGCATAGAATGTATCCCGAGGCGCACCCGACAGACAAGTGCAGAGTCTGCCGAAGGGAGACGGCCGGCTTCGCACATATGCTGTGGGATTGTATCAAGTACCCGGAAGAATCAAAGTCTGGGAGCATCCCGCTGCGACTTGAAGCAGCCGCAGGGAGCGATAATCAAGAACAACAACTCTGGGCCGTCCAGCAGGTCATCGGGGCGCTGGCCCGGCAGGGACCCAGCGCCCAGAAGACGATGTAGGCCCCGTCCGGAGCGCGCGCGCAAGCGCGCATTTTACTGCAGGCTAAAATAAAGTTTACCCACTCCACTCTGCAAAAAAAGTTGATTTAGAAAAATGTCATATTTACATCCACCAGCACCTGGAGAGTATTTCCAGAAAGTTTCATTAGTTTACACCATATAGTTAATTTTTTATAAATTATTTTCTGTCCATTAAAGCTAAAGAAAAGGTAGGGGTTGGAACACTTTGAGCACATTTTCCTCCGTTCCACATTTTGGCATAAATTTCATTTTAGGAAAACTATCATTTCTTAATGGGACAAGAGGAAAGACTCGCTTATTGTTTTTCCTAAGTGAAATTTTATGGGCAGTGCAACTATGGAATTGTTTTTTGACTTTGGGGATGTCTTTTATAAAAGATGTTCAGATTTTGTGCTTGACATAAAAGGCAAAATTTATTTGATTTTTCACTGCGATGTTAGCATGAAGTAAATTCCTTTTTGGAGATTTTCTTTTTGCAGCTGCACTCTCTAGGCATTCTGCTGCAGATCTAAGTAGAAAGATGTTCGGTATTACATTAGTTTCCTAACGATAGTTTTCCTAAACAAAGTTGGTGTGTTCCTGATAAAAATGGCTTCAAGTTATTTTACATTTCATGTACACTGATGAAACTTTGCACTGCATTCTGCCTTACAACTTCCAGTATATACTCTAAATTTCATTCATATTAAGCCATAGGTTAAAGGGTTAACCCTATTGGGTAGTGTCCCCCCTTAAAGGGATACTGAACCGAAATTTGGATTTCGCAAACTAAGGCTGCAGAAGTGTTGAACGGGACGCTATGAACTCCAAAACATCACTCGTACATCGATATCTCAAACGGATGGCCGTACTTTTGGAAAAGAAGGGCGCGATCAAGCGAGTTCTTTGACGTAACTGTCCTCCGGGAGAATGTGAGAATGAGGAGAAGCGGCCTCGCTTCTCTCCTCCTCGCTTCGGTTCTCCAGCTTGACGGGATGTAGCGAGGAGGAGAGAGAATGGGAATCGTGACGTGCCTTGTCGCGTCGGCCTCGTCGGTCGGGTTCAATCGCCGCACTTCTTTTCCAAAAAATGCGGCGATCCGTTAGATATATCGCCGTATGAATTATATTTCTTGGTTTTGCAGCTTCCCGCCTATCCGCCCGGCCTTGTTTTGTGAACTCGAATTTTCGGTTCAGTATCCCTTTAAAGGGGAAGTCTACCTAACATTATTTGGGACGTGACGGGACTTAGATAGCTTTATTCATGTTCAGGTTTGATAGGAGGCGCACGCACGAAACTTTGGAGGCAAACGTAGCATTGGTCTTTGCAGGAACGGGATGGACATGACTGGTACTGCTTCGAGTGCCACCGGGGCGGAGACGTGCTGCTCTGCACTTCCTGCCACCGGGTGTACCATGTTGTCTGTGTCAAGGAGGACCTTTCCAACGAGGAGAAGTTTGTCTGTTCTGTCTGCCAGGTGAGCGGGCCATCGAACCGCCTCAGGGAGCGACGGCTGCCCTGGGACGCAAAGTCTCTGTCGTTAACATCATCTAGATAGGAAGGCTGTAGTGCTAGACTGTCACACATTACAGCGCTGGGGCGACAATCTGCACCCCAGCGCTGGACGCAGATTGTTTAACAGTGCTGCGTCAGAGTTCAGCTGTTACTTGTGTACGAGGTCCATCCACCTGCGGACGTAACACTTGATCATGCCGATTTTGCACCCTGCGCAGGCGGCTCGTACGTGTCATCAAAAATTAAGCACAATGGCTTTGCCATCTTGGAGGTGTTGCCTCGTCGTGGTGTTTATTCGATTCAACCCTCCCGCAAAGATGTCATTACCCAGGTCGGGGAACGGGTACAACATCCATCTCTCGTCCCACGTTGATTTCCGTACCTATGAAAACAGCGAGCATTATTATGAGCTCTCCACCGACCTACTAGACCAGGGGTGGCCAGGCTGACCCGGTCCAAGAGCCTCAGACAGAACCACGAACAGAACCACGAGGGGCAAATTTTTTGTCTAGAGCAATAAACGACACTTAATTGATACAGATAGATTGAAAGTAGTTCGAACTACTTTTAATCTATTTGAGCCAAAACCATTCCGACTGTACGCAAGGAAGCAAGCAGTAGCTCAAGACTACCAAACTGCTACATGTCTTTCGATTTAAAAGGCGTTCCATTTCTCTTTTTGGGGAAGTGCTCGTGTGGCCAGGAGGGAGGCCGGGGTGTAGGGGAGGGAGCCGCGAGCTGCACTTTAACACGCGAAGAGCCGCATGCGGCTCGCGAGCCGCAGCTTGGCCACCCCTGTACTAGACCTTTGTGCCGAAATATGCGAGCATCAAGGAGGATGCTGGAAACGTAGGTATAGATGTTGCACATGCTCGCCTTGTCTATAAAAAGATAGGAAGTGACAGACTATGAGCATATACGCAAACTTCTATTTATTTCAGGTATTTGCTTGATGAGAGCTTTTGTTGTGGAAGCCGGTGTGTGCAGCCAGTGGCATCACTAGGGTCGGCGGCACCCAAAACGGTGGCCCACCGCGACCCCCTTCCCACCCCCCCCTAGTTTCAGCCAACGATCCTTGAAACGAAAGGGCAACAATGGGCGGTGGGGAGTGGGGTCGCGACATCCCCTTCTCCATTTTCACTGCCCAGCTGTACTTGAGGCTATCTCCCCCCCCCCCCCCCCCCCCCCCCCCCTTCGTTCCCCCCCTTCGTTCCCCCTAGTGATGCCACTGTATGCAGCACGTGTAACTAAACTTGCAACATGCTCATTGGTGCTTGCATAACTTAGCAAAGGGTCTATCGTACATCCAAATGACTTTAAAAAGCCCCTGAAAAGAAAAAAAAAAGTTTTCTTTTAAACAGTTTGGGCGGGACACGCATGTCAAAAAATTTATTTTAGGCGAACGAAGAAAAATTTTAAAGGCAATATTGATGGCGCGAGACGTGATTTAGCAGGTAGTCACCTCCTTTCCACTTGTTTTCTCTCTCGGCATTTTGGGCGCGTGGAGGAGAGGTGAATCGGCTTCGCCTTCACGTTGAGGTGGAAAGAGTGAATGACCATTCTGTGACGTCGTAGACTTCGCACACAGAATTTCAAATAAATCTCGCCGCCAATATTGCTCTAAAAAATTTTTTTCCGCGTAAAATTCATTTTTTTTGACACACGTGCCCCAACCAGACTGTTTAAAAAAACTTTTTTTTTTTTTCACGGGCTCTTTATGAGGCGTCGGACCTTTGTCGAGTTACATTTTTGTCGAACGACAGAACCAGCTCAGTCAAATATACCTGATTGTTGGCGCCTCAGTAATTTTGTTGAGGCTGCAAATACTCTTCTGGTGTTTACATTTGGGTGTAATCTATGTGCACTTTGATCTTTGCTAACATGAACAGAGAATTAAAGCTTTTCTGTGGAAAGAGTTAGCTGAGTGCCACGATTGCTGTAGTAAAATAGTAAGCTGGGCGAGTTGGTAAACGTTCAACATGGTTAAAATCATGCACAAAGAGACAAGGACAAACAAGGAAGGAACGTGCCTGTCTGTGTTCTGCGTTCCTTCTTCGTTTGTCCTTGTCTCTTTGTGCACAATTTTTAACCACGTTCCACGATTGCTCTATTTTCCGGTGTGCAAGTCGCATCTTTTTTTCCTAATTTCCATCGGTGTGTCTTACGAAACAGTGCGACTTATGCACATTGATTTATAAGTATGAACCTTAGCAAGATGAAGCCGACATTAACGGCAAGGAGAAATAGTAGAGCACCCACCGATGTCCTGCTCTTCCGGCAATCCAAAGACGGTCCGAAGCTTAGCGGAATATGTCTGGTGCTGCAGCTACTCTGTACGCCATACTCTGCAGCACTCCATAGCGGTGGCTGGCACATGAAAACAAATTTTCCACAAGGGTTATATTTTTCGCTTAATTTGTTGGTGAGATTATTGAAGCTGGCTCCCACCTGCACATATATTGCAACCACAACACAGATATGTGCAGGGGCGGATGCAGGAATTTCCTGAGGGGGGGTCAGGTGTTGGTCAGCGTACCATATGTTTAAGAACCCCCTCCCCCTCTCCCTCGTTTTACGCCCTAAAATTTACACAAGCAGAAATCAAGAGGGGGGTCAGGATATCCGGACACCCCCTCTAAATCCGCCCCTGGATGTGTGGTCTTATCAATGCAGTTTTGCCGTGCAGCATGTGCAAAAAGAGGTGCGACTTGTACGGCAACTTATACAAAGATGCAGCTTACATAGCAACTTTTTTTTCATGCAAACTCCCGTTTCTTCTCGTTTGTTCAACGTTGGACAAACGGGAATTCACAAACGACCGTTTAAGAGAACACGCACAAAATTTAAAGACAAATGACGGGGCACATTTGCCCCCGCACTGTAGAGCCTGCAAATGCGAGCCACGCTTCGGCGATACCAAGATTCTCGGTAGAAGCAGAATTCAAAGAGCACACGAACTGCAAGAAGCATATTTCATCAAGAAGAGGGGACCCCAGTGCGTCAGCGACACGTCTATAGCATTGTATAAGGCTGAGATTCGTTTTTTCGATAAATATATGCAAACGGGTTTATGTTGTTGTATCTCGCGCATGAGTAGCCTGGGTGACGATAAGTGTATCAGATATATACATATGTACTTCCACCTTCCTTTCCCAATACAGTTAAGAGTAGCGCCCGTGTTTGTCTTCTATCTTGTGTACATCTTTTTAGCGCTTATAACCATGGTTCAATACAGTCAACACCAACTAACCCAATAACAAGCTCTTTGACACAAGAAGAGATGCAGACCCCCCCAGGACGAGACATACTTTCAACTAAACTCTAATTTGAAAAAAACACAAATGCGAACATAGGCTGACATACACATGTGCATGGGAAATATTTTACATTCACCATGCAGATAAAGAAGTGCTGAAAACTAACATGTTTTGCTATGTGACACATTTTTTTCTAAAATATGAATATTCCTTATTTGTTAGGGATAGCGAGGGGGCACTGATACATGCATTGGTGCCATGGGATTTAATGTTAGAGGCCTCCAGAATTTCGCGCACAATTTTTGTTGCGCCGCTTCCCACTATTTTGTTTCACTAATATTTGGGTTACACTCACAGCGATCACAGCGATCACAGTGTATGGCCAAGTGGCCAGACGGGGATTGCCTAGTGGACACAGAGCGTTCTCTGATTATATCGTGGATGCATCTCCCCGTGTGGCCAACATAGACCCTCCTGCATGACAGGGGGATCTCATAAATGACGGCAGCGACACAGTTGTGGTACTTTGTCACGTCCTTCTTTTTGCAAGCCCCTTCTGTCACAGCTAAGTCATCTGGGCTTCTATTAGTTCTTTTGCACAATGCAGATAGTTTAGTTGGAGCAGAGAAAACAGCTGGAACCTACTTCCTTTCTTAATCATGGTGAACAAAGCACATAGCCCATTATTCATTTTTATAAAGATTCTGGGCTGGTGCTGTCATGTGGATCGATACATGTTTGTGTGCTTTGTTTTATATTTTTTCCCTTCTGCCAGAGGGGTTTGGTCCTCACAGAATCACTGTGAAATAAAATAAAACAATTAATATCTTAGAAGTACATAAAACTTCCTAAAGGTAACAGTGAGAGACAAGAATTCACCTTAAGTGTAAGCTTTAAATGAATGACGTCATCTCGCTGAGAATTTTGGAAGTGGCTTGCCATTATCAATTCTGTTAGCCCATTTAAACTTTTGCATTTCGTTGCGTCTACCGGCATGATCTCCGGATGGAGTCACAACCTTTGATGACAAACAGATTCATCTGATGGGTGCAGCTTCAAAAAATATTTGTTTGGCACACACTGTCGATACGAGCAAACATTTCTGTGTTGCAGCTACTGCAGGAAAAGGATGAGTTGAAGCTGAAGGCAGAGGACTTGAACATGCTCCTTGGCTACACCTGTGTTCGACTCAAGGACAAGACATGCACGGTATGTTGGCCGCATTCTCTCTTTTTGACAGGGTTAAACCCCCGAGGGATACAGTAGGCATGAGCCTAGGCCAAACAAAAAGAGGAATCGGAAAATGCTATTCCTGGTAGACATGGCGCCTCATTGGACGAACACAATGTGATGCAGAAACATGGTACTGTAGGACATTACTATCTCGAAGGAAACCGTGTAGATGTGAAATAATGTGTGTAAATATTCCATTTCTTATTTATAATCTGAAATTCCAAGTAAAAATTTAAAATATTTGAAGTTGCAAAGCTTTCCATCAGCCTGGCAAATAGCAGACAGTTATTTGCAATTAGTATTTGCAAGTTTGCATCAGTGACATAATATCTGCTGCATCTCAATTATAGTGCAAGGGAGAACAACAAGGGGGCAGAGAAAATTGCATGCCATAAGCTAATGATCTGACATACCAATTGCCAATGCTCGTAATCAGTCTGCTTGACCAGGAAGTTCGTAGGGAGCATGACTTATTAGGCACATTGCCTAGTGTAGACTTCCGGTCAGCAAAATACCTAGTGTTTCTGGCTGAACATTTTCGAGTCGAATGTCAAAGAATCGTCACGTTGCTGGTGCCAAATGCTGTAATTAATGCACTTCTCCTTGTCCTTTGAAGAACTTATCCTCAGGTCATGTCAGCTACGGTTAGTTTTAAGTTCCCCAAACTTTATATGCATAGAGATGGGGCCCACTCCACTGTTTTCATACCACAGTTAGCCTCAAATGTTACGGCAAGACGAACGCTTCCTATAGTCCGTTACAACCTAAGAACGAAGGGCGAGGGTAAGACGGGCTGGGTAGGAGGAAGCAGACGGAACGCTAAAGAAAGGAGGACGTTTCCCCCTCTCTTCTCCATCGTTCCGTCTGCTTCCTCCTCGCTGGCCCGTCTTACCCTCGCCCTTTGTTCTTAGGTTGCAACGGACTATAGATGACAAGAACGTAGTGCTGGATTTGTTACATTCAACGGGCACACAAGAGATTGGACTCGAGTGCCGGACCAGCTTTTGGTTTCCGATCGAACAAGAGACCCAGCCAAACACCGATACAGCGCTCGTTTCCAATTTTCATTCTACGCTGGCCTCTGATAAGGGATATATGTAGAAGATTTAGCACCATGGCCTTGTTGTCTGAGAGATGATGGTGCAACACACATTCTGGACATGGTAAGTAAAGATAAAATGGGGCCCGCCTGGCATTGCAGACGAAGGAGCTGCACCGCCTGCTTTCGACGGAAGCAGACACTTGGAAGCAGAACCAGCTCATCTACCAGAAAATGGACCTGGTCACCATGGAGGAGAAGACACGCAACGGCGACTACATGGGGCTCGAGGAATTCCGGGCGGACGCCCAGACCATCGTTCACAACGTCGTCATTTTTTACGGCAGTGAGTGCCACTTTCCCCACTTTGTCCCTTGCCGCTTTTTCCTCTGTCCACTTTGTCCTCTGCCCCTTTGTCTCTCCACTTTGTCCTGTGTTGTGCGTCAATTCATTTCTTGCTAAGGGACCAAGTTATTTCTGCAATGACAGCTGGCTGTGTTGTCATCTTTTGTGTTACAATCTTTCTGGATGCCCCAGACTTTGAAGCCGGCCCTGAAACACAGTCTGCATTGAAGAAAAACAACAAAAAACTGCAAAGACACTTAAGACTGCTAACGTGTCGGAATGCAAAAGCATTTGTATACGTAGCATATTATTCCTAGAAGCTGCACGCCACGCTGAGCTCGGCCGTACATACTCTCTATAATCTGCCCGGCCAGTCTCTGCGGCCGGCCGCTCCCTCATGCCGGCTGTCGGGCCGCTGCCCCAGAGGGCTTCTCTGTAGGGTGGCATTTCTTGGAACTATGCCACGTGCCAGCCAATGGGGTGGATGCTACAGAATACAGGCTTCGCTTTATGGGACGGGAATTTGGGTGCCGTTTGGCACGGCTTCAAAATCTGATAACACTGGTTCTCTCCATGGGACAGTTAAAGGGACCATGAAATGACCTTTTTACTTTTTCCAGATAACTTTTACATTAAACCGTCAATGTTCACTGAATGCCGAACAAGCATCCGTTTTCGTCTCGGTTTATTAACTTCTACACAAAATATTATTGAAATATCGACTTTTTCATTCTCTCCAACTGACCGCAAAACAAGCCGTGACGTAGGCCGTTTCCGGAACCGGAAGTTCTCTCGGCAGTAGGAGAATGGGAGTGTTAGCGGCAACGAGTTGGGGTGCGCCGGTAGGTTTTACTGCGCTGATGTCACCGACGTATTTCCTGAATCGGCGCCTCTCATCGCCGCATCGCAGCTGAGCGAAATTCAATGAGATATGTTGCGCTACAGCGACAGCATGGGACTAGTCCCATACGCCGGTATGCCTGTTGGGAAGTGCAGCGAGTCTTCCGGTGAAGACTCCAGAACCACCCTGTCATTGTTGGCAGAAGGGCCGGCCCGTGTCAGTCGTTTGCAAAGCGACGTAGATGGCGTTTTTCGCGGCCTCGGAGATGCAGGAGCGAGCCGACGTTAAAAAAGAAAAGATACGTTTGAACTACGAGTGTCAGCAAGAGCCACGTAAATACCTGTTTACACTCGGAGCGGACGCGCGCGCTTGATGGAAGTGCTGTATTCGCGCTGTTTGTAAGCGCTTCGGCACCATTCTTTTACGATTGCAACTCGATACTGACGCGACACTCGGCAAAGAAAAATTGGACCGGGGTTGTACGTATACCTCCCACGAACTGTTATAGCTCGACAGTGACGTGCAGTCTGTCAGAATAAAAATGGCATACCAATAACAAAGTGTACATACCGTGTTACGAAGGTAATCCATACGGCGTTTATTTCGGCTCTATATCACACAAAACAAGAAGATAGAATCGACGAGAGTCCCTTTTCGACGAGTGTTCGTCAACACTGCCTCGGAAAACAAGGGGAAGAGATTGACCTCACCTCTTAATCTAGAATTGAGGTCAGTGATCAAACTATAATACGGGAAGGGTCCACAAGGGTCGCGCGGGCATATTCCATTTAGCACGCCAGCCGGTCGTAGGCAGACGGTCTTGCGACGAAGCAACGCAGCGCCGAGTCGGAATGCCTGCTAGGCCTATATTCTGAGCAGCTCGCTTTGTCGGAGTCGGTGGATCCAGCATTCTTGTTCGTCGTGGTCTGTTTTAAGTACTGTTTTCTTGCTGCTTGAAGTCGGCACGCGCGGGAAGAACACGTAGAAAAATAAACGTTCAGTCAGTCAGAGTCTTGAGAGGAAGGAAAACAAAGAAAATAAACGTTCGTCGGTAGCCGCCACCGCCGCCACCCAAGTAACTGTCGGCCCTGCCCTACTGCGCACACGCAGTAGTTGCTTCGTTTACCACACGATAGATGGCGCTTGGCTCTCAGCATTATCAAATTTGGCAATTTTCACCACACATCTCTAATTATGCTACAAAATGTGGATCTGAATATTATTTAACAAAACTTTTAGGATACATTCGCCGGCTATTTATTGTTTACGATCGCGGTGCTGGTGAGGTAGGCTCTTACCCAATAGGCGACCTGGATTTGGCTGACGTGCTCCATTTCCGCGGATGCATCGTAGTGAACAGGCGAAGGAAGGAAAGTGCAAAAGAGTCCAGTTTTCTTTTAAAAGCTCTATAGCAAATAATTTTTTTTGGCTCCCTATTTTTGTGTTTTAGTGTTTCTTTTCACACCTTTTACGACGTGCGGTGGATGAAACTCGATTTTAAAATCATTTCATGGTCCCTTTAATGCTTTCGCATTCAAATCTGTTGGAAATAAAACGATCCCCCTGCATAATATTACAGTGCAACCCACTTTTAATGATACTGAGAAAACCCAAAATTTCAATCGTTATCACTGATTATTGTTGTATCTGGACTAGAAACTGATTATTTCCAGTCTAGAAACTCTAGAAACTGATTGTTATAAGCGGTACATCGTTATACGTTGTATTGTTATAAGTGGATTGCACTGTATTCTGGATGGTTGAGTGTGTTAATCTCTAAATTATGACAATGAAAGAGGGAGATAGAAGACAACACAGACGTCTCTCTAAAAACTTTGAGTAGGACAGGCGTCCTCTCGAATGCGGTCCCGAGGAGTGACCAGCGCCCCCCCCCCCCCCCCCCCCCGTCCTCGCAGTCCACAGTTGCATGGCCGACATGGCCCGGCAGATGCTGCGGGACTGCAGCTACGACCTGGGCGAGATCCGCCAGTGCAGCGCCTGCTACCGCATGTCCAATGAGAAGCGGGACAAGTTCTGGTTCTGTCAGCCATGCGACCCGCCGCACGACCTGGTCTTCGCCAAGCAGAAGGGCTTCCCCTACTGGCCGGCCAAGGTCATCCGCATCGACGACCACTGCTACGACGTCCGCTTCTTCGGCGGCTACCACCAGAGGTGACTCCCGGCCTCCCTTGCCCGTCCTAGAGCCGCTGGATACGCTGCGTTTAGGAGTAGTGATACTCAAACCCCCTTGGCTTAACCCTTTGACGGTCATTGTCATGCATTTGCAAGTTCCCGCCGGAACGTAAAACTGCGCGCACCACTGGGGTGCTGCTGTTCGTTATGTCTTTGGCAAACTATAAACACTGTATTTGTGCCATGTTTCACCTTTCTGGGTTTTTTTATAATTTCAATATTAGACGTTTCCTGCACATGATATGTGTGAGACTGGCTGCTCTTGCAGTGGCAATTGGTTTGCCGGCTCTTCCGATTCAAAATTATTACGCTTCTTAGAATCGAATTGAGAGGATGAGAGCTCATCCTAAGATGGAGATGCTCTGTAAAGTACCTCCAGTTTGGAGTCCGAGATAGCCGGGACATCGCAGAAGTGGACGCAGCAAAATGAAACCAAAGGGAAGAAAGGCGACGACTGTTTGCCCTCAGTATTTGCATTCGATGCATCTAAACCCGTACAACTTGCAAGCACTGTATGTGCTCCCATTAGACGGTTGAAAAAAACAAAAAAAACCTGCTCATTGACTATTGCTATCCCTTTAGAAACTGAACAAGACCGCTGGGTACATCTTTATGGAAAAAAAAAAAAAAAAAAGCAAACTCGGAAAGGGCTAAAATTATTGTTGCCAGATATCCGAGGTTTTATCTGAAATTGCTGGAAACACGTTTTTTTTTCCTCTAAAAACATTAAAATAATCTCCAACGGGGGAAGATGACAAGATGATCCCGCTTGAGCTTTTTGACACCATACCCCTAGCTCAGAAAGTCGCATTTTCAACTCGATTGCGAGTCAAGCTCGTTCTGCACTAGGCACCAAAATGGCGGCACCCGTAAGACAACAGGATATATTGCTGAGGCTGTAAGCATAGCTTGTTCAGTGGGTCTATAGCCCATCCGTGCCTGCCACGCCCGTGGGAGCGTGGGGTGCAACTATAATGTCCGGAACGTCCCTCCGACAGGTGTGTTTGCCACATTCTCATTTCCGTGTGGTTTCTCGATTTTTGTGCAATGATGCCATTGCATCAGGCTTTTGCTTGCCATGATCCTAGCGGGAGGTGGGGCTGAAGACACCCGTTTTGCTGTAGGTCGATCTCCAGTGTGGCGATCATAGAAACTGCAGCAGCCGTGCATTAGGGCGTCACAAAGACAGGGACACTTGCCTTCGCTTGTCCTTTTTATCACAGAATTTGTTTTATGAGCCAATCTTTGTGGAAATCCATAATGTTTGGGTGTAATGTGTGGCTGTAACGAAAAACCGACACTGAAAAGCGCTACTCCCATACGAAATCATATGAAAGAATTAAGTCCCCGGCAGGATTTGAACACGCTACCTTGAGATTGTGAGTCAAGCGCTTACCAGCTGATCTAACCAATTCAGTGATTTCTCTCGCACGCAAAAGCAAACTCATTAACGTGGCGCGTGAAGGCGTGAGCACGCGGTCACTTGCTTTGAGGCCTTCTGTGTCGTGCTGCGGTATCTCACAGCGTGTGTCAGAAATGGGAGTGAATCTTTGTGCTACCTGGTGAGGCGGTAGGCGGTGCCCATTCAGATGTCCTACTCTTCTTCTATTGTGGCTGCGGCGTCTACGAAGCAGACGGCCGCAGAACGTGTGCGAGTTTATTGGGAACATGGAGAAACGGCAGCGGCAACAACAGGAGGAGCCTTCACCAGGAGCTCTGCAGACGAGCGTCAATAAGTGGAAGGACTATTACACAATCTGTGCTTACCGGACTTTGTCAGCATGATCGAGCTTGTATTAGGGCGCAGCTCTTAGGCACCCGTTTTCAGCTTGAGTGGCATCGCCGTCGGCGTAAGCACGTGTTACATTATGGGACGCTTCCCATAATGACATCACACGTGACATCAGGAGGGTCACGAGTGACGTCACGTGATCATGACCTTCGCAGTAAAGGTCACGTGAAGGGCACAGTGGTCACGATTTTTACATGACCTTCACAAGTGACGTTAGGGAGGAGGGAAAGGTAGAAGAAGAAAGGAGGAGGAGGGGGAGAGGGAGGTGGGGGAGGGGAGGAGGAGGACAAGCATACCTTCCTCTCTGTATCCTCCCCTCCTCGTCCCCAATAGCTGTGCTCTAATTCGGCATTACAGGGAATTGTAAACGTCTTTCATTTTTAATTTTTTGCCAAATCTTCTTCGAGCAACCACCAGAATCGTGACATTGGACAGCACGACACGCCGATTCCCATGATGTAACCTGCTGCCACTTTGCAACCAGTTAAGAAGGATGAGCGGCACAGCACGCTAAACATGTCACTTGAAGACGCGTTCCAGGCACTGTAGCAGAGCTCTTCTTGAAGCAGCGGCAATTAATAGTGCTTATAATAGGTGCATCGAGGGGCTTGTAAAAGGTGCCAACTCGTTTCACAAAGTAGTTGGTGCTCTTGTTCTTGTGCCACTGCACATGTTGCGCACGTTTCACATCCGTGGGAGGCATGACCACGAGTGCTGTCTTCGTGCCGTGAGGAGACACAGCTTTCTTCATGGGCTGGTGATTGCTGCTCTTGTCACTTTTTGTATTTAAAGGGATGCTGAACCGAAATCTGGATTCCACAAAGCATGGCGGCAAAAGCGTGCAAGGGGATGCTACAAACACCAAAACATCACTTGTACAGCGATATCTCGAACGGATGACCATATTTTTCAAGAAAAGGAGGCGCATTTGACAGATGTGTTTACGTCTTGTTTTTCTGAGAAAGAGAGGGAACGGCCTCACGTCTTCTCCGCCTCGCCGCTTTGAGGGGGCGAAGCGAAGAGAGGAGGAAACGAGATATCTTGGCGTCACGCGCGTCGTCGGTCTCGTTCAATTTCAACCTCTTTTTCCAAAAATACGGCCGTGCATTCGAGATATCGCCTTACGAGTTGTGTTGTAGGGATTGTAGCGTCCCCGCCTACATCTCCTGCATTGTTCTTTTCAAATCCAAATTTCGGTTCACCATGCTTTTAAATTCATTGCTTAATGCAGAAGCGAGAAATTATCTCCATGCTCTTTGTCTTGTCTTCGCAATAGTACTGCAAGGAACTAACAGGAAAATATATCTTTAGAAGGTCTGGACAAGACTTTTAGAGCCAGTTCCCGGAAAACTAGGTCTAAAAGTAGTTAGTCGAGGAACTCTGCAAAAATAGGTTGCAACAGAACTTGATTATAGCTGCCTATTTCTTTGGAATGTTTTAACCAAATCAAGAGTAACCCAGCTTGAGGCTTTAAAAACTGACTATGAATTTCGGAAAATTTGGCACTGCGTTATGCGAGCTTTACTCCGATTCTCGAAATTTTGTTTTGCCTGCTTCGACCCGGTGTACAAATTCACTGGGTCATTGATCATGCTGACATAGACCTGAGCACAAGCCGGTGCCAAAATGTAGTGCCCACGTAAAACAAAAGTCAGGTTTGCTGTACGAATATTCAGACGGCTGAAGTTAGTTTGTCCCAAAGGCATCTGATGTTGCCGCTGTAGATGTGCAGCCTGACCTGGGGTCCTTAAGTGCACTATGCAAGAATACACAGGTGTATGCCAGTGCTTTGTACATCCTGATAATAGGCAGTGGGACCGAATCCAAGGTCCCGAAGTTCTGCAGCTCGAGCTTTTGCTTCACGCGCTCCAAGCCTCAGAACGTTAACCCGTTTTTGTACTCATTTTGCTTTGCATCCGCTCGAATTGTGCGTGCAGAGCCCTAGTAGACCGGTCCAACATCAAGCCCATCGGCACAAGCCTGAAGCAGATTGCGGCAAAGCGCACCACGGCACTCAACAAGGCTCTGGAGGAGTTGAAGAGGCACCAGCAACTGCTCGAGCACCGGTCCAGGGGCACCTCCGGAGACTGCAGCTCCCCTGCGAGACACTCGCCGGTCAAGGCCAAACGGTTGGTGATCTAAATCTTTGCAGTTGGGACACGTAAACTATCGTGTCGTAGCGATAGAAGAAATACAATATCAACAGCCTGCTTCGATGCCGTATCGAGCTCTTGCTTAGAGGCATCATGCTGGAGCTAGCACTGGCGAGCATTCAGGTTTGCGTGTTCCCATTATGTCTCTCGGCAAAAGTCGTATGCTTGATCGGTGTTCGCCATGAAGGCTGGCGGACAGATTGGCGTTTTAGTGGAACTGACTGCGTTACGAAAGCTTGTGACTGCCAGAGTACACTGTTGCCACCTATCAGATAGCACCGGAAACTCTTCACTCCTTCGTATAACTAGACTGATGACCACTAGAGAATAACTGAAGTAAGGTTTTGCACTGTTTGTCAGACCAATAGTATATGCACTATATTTGTGAATACAGGACACTAAACATTCTCAGAATTGTAGTCAGAAATATTTCAGAATTGTTTGTTAGAATTATTATTTAATACATGCACAATCTGCGAGTACAGCACGCTGTACACTGTCAGAATTTTTGTCCGTGGGGAAAGAATAATGCGAGGAATAATCGGGAAATATGTGCAGATCGGACCCTGTTCCGGGGCTATGTGATAGATGGAGGCAGCGTGTTCTCTTGCCGTGGCGGTTCCAACACAGTTGATCACAGTCAAACGCAAATGTGTGAACCAGTCTTTACGAGGTTCAACTGTACTGGGGATGTCGTATTTACGGAGCTGTGCCTTTGCGCCTTCCGTCGTTCGTCGCAGGGGCCGAGGGCGGCCTCGGCGCGTCGTGGTCCCGCAGCCGAGCTCTTCCTCGTCGTCTTCGGAGGACGACCATGAGGAGGAGGAGGAAGAGGAGGGGGAGGGGGAAGAAGTGTCCGAGGATGAAGAAACACCTTCGTCATCCTCACTTGCCAAGATGGCACGCCTGAAGGTGTGCCTATGGTTCTTTTGTTCGTTGGACACAGTTGGCCGGGTTCTCTTGCCAGCTGGCCGTAACCATTAAAGTAATATGTTTTGTATTTCTTCGTAAAACATACCACAAAACATCATTTCGAAGTGGCAATTTGCACAAAAATTAAAGGAAGCATAAGCTTGGCCCCAAGATGTTGCTTGTTGCACTCGCTACCTATTCCTGACCATCTGATGCAACCATTCGGCAGTTCTTCACTGTGTGGTGCTGCTGGAAACATCCAGGAAAGTAGAGAGCAGCGAATTACTGCTGGAGGCCAAATGGATGCTTTCATCAATTTGGATGCGAATCACCAATCTTAAATAAAGTTTCAGAGTCCTCAGAGAGGCTGCACAACTCATCGTTGGAAGTGGTAGGGCGCTCAGCACTTAGGAACAAGTTTCTGTACTTCTTCATCAGCTAAAGCAGACCTCTGTGCTGAGGCACGTCACATTTGCTCTTGCAGATGTCAGACATTCCTAGGAGAGTAGCACGCCTCTCTCGGTGAAGATTTGAAACAAACAACAAAATAACCTGAAGGGGTGGAGCAATAACGGTAGCATGGCCTACTGCTGGAGAGCACAAAAGAGCTTCAAAACCGAAACACAAGTTAACCTCGTGGGCATGCTTTCTGGTCCTAAACAGACGGCACGAGTGACGCTTGTGATTAGTGGCTGAGGGGTGAAGGCAAGGCAAAGGGTGGTCCACGCTGTTGATGTGCAGAACGGGAGAGACTTGTGGTGCAAGCTTTAAACTCCATGGGCTTCCGCCCACGCAGATTTGACCCAGTGTCCGTACCCTTTCCCGTGTGGTGCGTCAAACTAAATTGGGGTTTCATTTCTTCGTTGTACTCTGCGACGGCTTGACCTTGCAGTTGGGAGTTGACGCTGATCGCCAAAGTTAGTGCAAACATAACATTGCCACTTTTTTCTATTTTAGTTTGAAAAAGGGTATTGGCTGGTAACAATTAGCTTTACCGCTTAGATTAATGTCTTAAATGTGCACTTTCACCACACTATTACTTTTAATACAACCTTTAATTTTAAGAAAAACAATTATAAAACGGCAATTGCTCATTTGCATTAACAGTGTTGTGCTATGTACACCTGGGGTGCTCTGTACACCTGGGTATATCGTTCAGTATTGCCACTGTCCCCGATACAAAAATAGTCTATTTTTACATTTTTTTTTGCGAAGTCAAGTGTGTGGTTTATTACACTGGTGCGGTACTGCGAGAAAAAGAATGTTAATACCCGAATACTTGTGCTTACAGGTTGCAAATAATGTAGGTTTTTGTCCAACACCATCCCATATATGCTCATATAACAGTTGCTCCTAAGAATTTAAGGAGGGCCTTCTAATGTTTGTGGTTTTGAATGAAACAACAACAACAAAAAAAAAGTCTACACCTGCAACTTTTTTGAAGCCAAATTAAAAAAAGGAAACAGTAGGCCATTCATGCCTAGAAATGGCGTAATCCTCTGCTAGAAAATTCTTTTTATTTTTTTGCAGGATAGTTTTCGTGTGCCTGGTATTTGCCACCTCGTTTAATAATGCACTTGGTGAATTACCTTTATTGCCTGGCTTAAGTTTTTGTTATGGCACAGATTAATTGTGCCTTAGCATCTTGGCTGGAGGGGAGCGTTAATGTTACCGTGCGGAGATGAAGCTTTTCCCCGCAAAATGAATATGAAAATTAAGAATTGAGTGAAAATATTAGAATATCTTAGAACATAGATGTGTTACATTTAATGTGAATTGAGCGTGGTCACTGAAATAAATCAAAGCTTGAATATTTCTTTCAGAAAGTATACCACACAAAAAAAATACAGCTTGATTGCGGGCAAAATAAGGAAAAGCCCCCGATAAGGCGATTTGGGTAAAACATAACGTAACGGGGAAAGCTGAGCAGTGGCTACCTTATTTATTTTAATATCGTTTGTGACTTTTTCTTTTACACTCTTTCGTAAGATCAGAGGTTCAATGTTGTAACCAAAGAAGGTTGACTATCAATAGCGAGCAAGATTTCTGAGCCCATTGAACCAATCGACATGTGTGCCATGTCAGCCGATGCAACACAGTGAAGTGTGGCACGCGTTGAAGCTTGATACACATGCTCCGGTGCAAAGCAGTAAAACTTTACACTAGTGTGCTGGGGCGAGGCGGTCAAGCTTGTTGCAAGACATTGGAGAATTCTGAAGACATTATATCTAACTTTTAAATATTCGAAATCATGAAAACCTGGAGCAGCAAAAAGTGTGCTACGAATCGAATCCTTCCCAAAATATTCGGGGTTTCAAATATTCGCACATCTCCATAGTTCCTTGTGGGCGTCGTATGCTCTCGCCATGGGAATCCAAAGCAAAATGGCAAGCGTGGTTGACCGCTCCACATTACTTTGTTGTAATGTCCACACGAAAACTTCCTGGAGGGTGAAACGTACCGCTTTGGCGCAGGACGAATCTTCGTCGGAAGACCACAACGTCGTGTCCTCGTCCTGCCAGGAATCTCCCAGCTGCAGAGTGTCCACGTCGACGCAGACGCACAAGAAGGTCTGGCCATTCTTTCTCTGCAGGAAACTCGCAAACTGTGCTTCACATAGCTCGAGTTCTTTCACAGTCTCCCAAAGACTAGATCACGAGGGTTATAAATGCGTAGCATTTACGGGGTAAGCTCTTCTTGCTTTTGTTGTTGAGCGTAGGGTGTAGCCTCGAGTGTGCAGCGCTAAGCACAAAGTCACCTGTTGCATGTGAAGTATGCAAGTTGCGATTGCTTTTGAGGCGGAGACTTTCCTGAGTGCGCTTGGCGGCAGCAAAGCGGATTACGAAGGCTCTCGCTTGCGGACTTTTTGTTAGGCTTCGTTGTACCCAGAATGGTGGGCACAGCAAGATGAAGAGGGAGGAGCACGGACGCAACTGCAAAATGAGAGCGCCGTGTCAAGCAGCAACAGGAAGCCAGCCGCCATTACACGGCAGCCGACCGGCAGTTCGAGTGCCAGCTCACACAAAATTTGTTTGGTGCAATGTGTAATGTGCGCGACTAGCCGGTTTCAGACGGATGCAAGCAAAGGCAATGCTATGCATTTAAATCACCTGTGGGAAATTGTAAAGAGACAGCTAGTTTTTCGTCACAGATAGCTTTATTTGGGAGCAATTGAGGTGGCCATTAAAAATAACCATTAGGTCTAATTGGCTTTTTTTTATCTGGAACCAATGGAGATAAACTAGAGCCACTAAGTAAGGTACGCCTCCGAGCAACGACAGTTTGGCCATCTTGATGCTCACAATCATTGTTGCCAGTTATCCGAAGCTTCGTCTGAAATCGCGAGAAATGCTTTTACTTTCATCAGAAATGTTTTAACAGTCTGTGACCCAGCAAAACAATGTTGCCTGAGCTTCATGATGTCATGCCTAAAGCTCAGAAAGTTGCATTGTTTAAATCATAACCGTTGCCAATTGCACCTGCTCTGCACTAAGCTCCAGAATCAGCACTCACAAGAAGATCAGGCGATGGAGTGCGAATAATCTAAATATAGTGTAAGTGCATAGTATTGTACAGTTTAAACATCTGTGAGTCCACACTCCCAATTGACAAAGTATATGGAAATTAAGTTCAATTGTTGTTTTTTTTAGCTGGAGTTATTTGAATGTAATACTATACGCGGTTTCAGACCTTCTGAATCAAATTGTTTTTCAGCTGGAACCAATCTGCATAATTTTTTATGTATTGGAATTTTAAATGTTTGGAAATGTGTAGGGTGTCTGGAACCGAGCGGCTAGCCAACACGACGAGCTCAAAGTTTTATCAAAGGTGTATTTTAGTGGTGTGTTTATCCTTGTGAAAGTTTAAGGCGTAGCGCTATTCTCAAGAGAAATTAGAACATCCTCAACATTCTCAACGGCGGGCTTCGAAGCAGACGACCTGGTCACCCGAGAGTCGGGCTCGTGACGCAGGCGACACTATCGTCTGCAGCAGACTCGAAAGCAGACAAGCTCAAAAGCAGACGACGCCGACGTCTGCTTCCTGGTGTGCTTGCATGAATATTCCAGTCGTTAGTTTGCAGCTGAAAGGATCATTGCGAGGTGTGTCCGTGGGCTGCTCGTTCTGGGAGTGGCCTTGAGACGAGACTGAAGTTTTTGTGTGGACCGGTGTGCCCAGATGCTGGTGAGCAAGGCAGCAGGGGAAGAGGCCCGGTGCGACTGCGAGGCCAGGCACCAGCTGAGTTCCAAGGACCTCCGAGAAGAGCTGGAGGCCAAGCACGCACGTGACAGAGAGCGCCTTGCCCAAGAGATCGAAGAAAAGGTGTGTTCTGTGGAAAATCTGCTTGTCTCTTGGTTATATTCCAAAGGCGCTCTAAATGCATGGCGCTTATAGGTCTTCAGTGAAATCACTTTGTCATGTGACTACCAGAAAAGCATCTGGTTCGTGACTTTATACCATGTGATGTGATGTCAGGTCTTGTGATGTCGGAGCATCACATGATGCCACGGTGTCACCTAATCTCACATGACGTGATGTCAAGTCATGTGATACTGTGACGTCTGTTTCAAGTGATATCATGGTGTCGCAGGACATCAGTGTAATGTGGCATGATGGTGTCGTGTGACAATCATTATGCCAATAACTTCCAGTAAGCACTGTGACATCAGCACGGTGAGCCTTTCAAACACAAATCATGTCACCAGCGCGACATCACCATCGTGGCTACATCCAACGAACAGGAAAGGGCTAAAAGGTCACCCTATAAATGCCATAAATTTGATAATTGTTCTACGTAGAGATCTGTCTTGAAAGTCTGAGCTTTCCTTCCTGGAACAACTGAATGGGAGCCCTGGTGCTGGCGTGCTTACAGGTGCGCAAGCAGTGCGAGGCGGAGAAGCTGAAGGAGGTGGGCTCTGTCCTGGAGCGCATGCGGGAGGAGCTGGAGCAGCACAAGCTGCGGGACAGGGACGCCCACGAGCAGGAGCTGGCTGCGCTGGAGGAGCGCCACCGGCAGGAGATCTCCGACACCAAGAAGAAGCAGTGGGTAAGTGGGGGGAGAGGGGGAGGCAGAACGTCGTGGCAAAAGCTGAGCGCTGTGCTTGACAGGAAATCAATCGCTACATCTCTGGGAGGATATGGAAACATTTCCGTGGCTTTCCGTAACTGAACATTCTACTTGACGTGTATGCTCCGCGACAATGTTAGCTCAACAAGCCATCGCCGTCTTCTTTTCTTCTGTTGTTATTGAAACTATTACAGTGCTAGAAAATTCTCATTTAAAGGGCGACTCTGCTTCATTTTTGGTTTTGAAAAAACAATGCAGTCCTCTTCAGTATCGCCTAGGAAGACCACACATCAAATATTACGACGCAGTTCTGTCTAAATGTTTCTTAAACGGTCCGGCAAACTTTGCAACTCGCCAAGTTGCCGAAATCGGCTGACTCGAGCGGGCGAATTCAGGCGCAATCAACAGCGCAGTCAAGGCTACGGCATGGGCGGAGCCAACATTGAGCCAAACGTCATCATCATGGCCCCCTTTTGCTTGTTTTTACTTCTCCGATCGAGCGTAGCGCATGACATCAGCAACGTTGCCTCTCGGCGCTCAGCGGTGTCCACGTGATTGGCGTACGCGCCTGCGCAGCGCACTTCTTGGGAGCAGACCAACCGCCCGCTGTGGTCCCGCCGTTACCGCCGTCTTCCGCGTCACAACCACCGTCGTCGTCTCACCGTTTGTGATTATTGCCTCTCGGAGTTTTGTCCACACTATGGACACCACGTGCGCAGAGTCGCAGACTTATGCCGCAGTTGTGCAGACGTCGTCGAATGCCGTAAACACCAAAACGTGGCGAACAGTGCGGTGCAGACGACACTCGCGCCTGCCGCACGCCCGCCCCCATCCCGCCCGTCGTTGGGTCGAGGATCACGTGACATCTCGTACCACGTGATGGCCATGTACTTGGCGGCCCGAGGCCAATGTTGCCGGACAGAGCCGAAGTTTCGGTTTCGATTTCCGCTCGTGTTTAAAATTAGATTTAAAAATATATATCCCATTTTTCGCAAACGACGTAGTGTCTTTTACTAGGGCTTTTTAATTCTAAATCACTCATTATCCCGAAATCTTCGGAATTGAGCGGAGTTGCTTTTTAATGTGTTAGCCGAAGTGGTAAATTTTGATGCCTGCCAGTACCCTCTGAAGCAAAATGCGAAAAAGTGCCAAAGTGGTGTTTGCGCTAACGGTGTCGCGCAGTGTACAGTGCTCAGTAGGATTGTAAGAATATTTGAATCTTTGAATAGTAGTTTGGAATAATACACTACTCAATATTTGCTTCGAGATGAACTCTGATATTCATACTTTTCGAAGGGCTGATCGCGACGGGTTAGCCCCGTTGAGCGCACTTCTTACCGAGCACCTGCAGCGCTTGCTTCTGCTGGTGTTGCTTCTCTGCAGTGCACCGGTGCACGGTAAGAAGCGCATTGAATGGGGCTAACCAGTCACGATCAACGCTTTGAAAAGTAGAAATATCTCAGCTCTGTGTTTAGGAGTAAGGCACACTTTTGAAGTGGGATAGTGCACATGTGCGCTCTTGGTGTGTTTAAAAATAAACGGAAGCTTTGTGAATGTTGATATCTACATTGCAGTAAAATTGTTAAAGTCAAACAGGCTATTATTCATGAGTATACGGGGTGTTTGTACAAGACTGGGGCTTGGTAAGAGGCGGGAAAATTGCACGGGCGCCTTACCGCAACGGCTAGCCTTGTACCTGCTTCATGAGCGGTAACTTTAGTGCACTACTACTCTTCTAAATTGCCCTGAAAGTCTCTCTGAAAATGAATGATTTAATGGTTTTCGATAACGCTCAGCAAGTTTCTAATTGGAACCATATGTCTATTTTCACTAAATAAAAAAAGTTAATCAACAAATTTTAATCAATTTGCCTACTTATCGCAAAGATTAGCCATCCACATAATGTCCCCCTGGGCGTACAACTCACTCACACAAACCGCATTAGTGTAGCTTTCATGGCTTTTTTTTAACAAATATGTAAAGAATAAAAAAAAAACCAAAAAAACCCTGTATGTTAGGCTGAGGTGCCCTGACAACCTGCGTTATCAATTCATGATTAAAGAAAATATATTTGCAAATAGCAAGATAATTTATAAATCCCCTCGATTAGGTATATCTGGGCATCTCTATATCTAAATTTATGTCAAATTTGTTGTTTAGTTGCCATCCCAATGTAGACATTGAACCTTCGAAGGTCACAGCTGATAAATCGAGTTAGATTAAAATAAACTTAGCCTCACGAGTTCAGCTGGGTTCTCGTTCCAGCATGGTGCTGTAGTGAAAGGCTGTGGAAGCTGCCTAATATTAGGCAGAAAAACTCGAATTTGTTGCGAACTCAAAATCTACTTTTTGCAGAGGCCTAGTGCTCTGCAAACTTACCTGGAACACACGAAAGGTATCTTATCTCGTAGGAGCGCTACCCTGGTGGCAGCCGAAGACCTGCTCCATGGCATAGCGCTCAATAGAACACCGGAAGCAGAGAAAACCGCTCACTCAAGGTCCAAATCGAGGCTGCAGGTATGTGCATGGGTGACTGCCAATACCATCACCGATTGAATGACTCAGCAAGTATGCATCATGCTACCACTGAGTGAGTCATCCAATAACACAGTTTTAGCAGTCACCTATACATTGTAGTGCAGAGGAGAAGTGGGATGCGCAAAAAAGGGTAGATGGCCCGGAAGATAAAATTGCCGCTTTGACCCCTCTTCAACCGCCATTTCTGCCTTGAGCAAGTGGCCTGCCCCGATCGGACTGTTTCATTGAGCGCTATCATTGTGAAGCAGTTCTCAGGCTTCTACTCAGGCTTCTCACGTGATAAGACGCAGTTCGCACATTCTGTAGAAGTTGGGCGAGCAACGTGCCTCCCGAGCTAAGTGTAGTGAGAACTGGATGATGCCTGAGCCACCTTTTCCACGAGGTTGGACAGAGGTGAGAGTGTGCTGCATTGTTGCAGTGCTACAACTGCGAGGCGGAGGCCATCTACCACTGCTGCTGGAACACGCTCTACTGCAGCGTGGAGTGCCAGCAGGTGCACTGGCACAAGGAGCACAAGCGCTCCTGCCGACGCAAGCAGTGATTCCCCCGGGCCCGGGCAGGCTCCAACTTGGGGCTACGGTGCGGACTCGGAACGGTGGCAGGGACGTTTGGGGGCATTCCACGGCGTCCACCGAGGCAGAGAGCAAAGCTCCGTGACTGGTCGAGCGTTCGCCGTCGCCGGTCGACTCGACTTCGCGGCGTTCGACCGTCCCGCGTCGCATCGAAGTGTCGTCTGTCGACGTCTATGAACGCCTTGTTTGACCACAGTGCTTGGAGCGTGTATTTGACCGGTTCGTTTACCGGGTCCACGAAAGAGGTCCCTCGATTTTCGCCCAACGACGTCGCGGAAGTGTCGTTCTGTTGTCTGCCGCGATTCTGGTGGTAATGCGGCAGCGGAGCTGTACGTGGCAGGCGCCTGTTCCGCCGTAAGTCGCTCTGCAGTCGGACAGTCGACGAAGACCAAAGTGGATACGACATGGGACGCTGCGACGACGGGGACCCTCGCATACCTTTGCCTTTTTTGCCCGCGTCTTTACAACCGACTGCCAGTATCGTGACATCCGACGGCACGACACTCCGACTGCCGAGACGCAATTCGTCGTCACTTCGGCACCATTTTCGACGCATGGCCAGGATTGGACGGTAAACACTCCAGTCAAAGACACGTTTTAGACATTGTAACATCGTCTCTCAGAGGCTGCAGGCACTTTGTTTTGACAATGTTACTTAGTGGGTGCCAAGGAGCAAGGCCGGCAGAAATTCTGCAACGGGCGTCGGTGCTGCGGGAAAGGCGAAAATTGCGCGACCGAGCAATCCGCGTTGAGCCGACGAGGAGGGACATGGGTCTTGAAATGCCGAAAAATTGTCCAAACCACGGTGTCGGAGGATAAATTTCATCGCCCGTAGATGCTCCTCTTCGAAGTCGAAAGCGTGCCGTCGACAAAAGTTGTTGACCTCTTTACTACCTTTGAAGGAGTAGAGCCGTCAAACTTTTGGGTTGCCTTTGTTTGTCAGTAAACTTGGAACACAACTTAGAATTTGCTGAAATACCGCAGATATGTTTGATGTCTTATTGTTTTCATTGTGGTTGCTGGGAACGGAATCTGCACTCGAAGGACGACTATTTTTTCATCTTATAATCAAAAGCATGTCATCCAAATTTCTAGTGTGGTGGGAAGGGCTTGTTTTGAGGCATTGACTATAATCAAAAGCATGTCATCGAAATTTCTAGTGTGGTGGGAAGGGCTTGTTTTGGGGCATTGACTAACCTAAGTGGTAAAATTGGGTTCCCACCCTTACCCTTTTGGAGTAAAGCACAAAAAAGCACCAATGACATGCTTGTGCTAACCGTCACGCAGCGTATTTAGTGGTTTGTTGGTATACTCTTGTGTTTCATGGTTGGTAGTGTCATATGCAATAGAGTAAAGTGATACAAACTAAGAGCTTTATGTTTCCACTTTAAGAGGTCACTAAGAGGTTTCTGAACTTGTTTCTTTAATTTTATGTCAATAATGATCTATTTGCTCCAAGCTCTCTTAAAAATTCTAAGTTACTCTTATGCAGCTTATTTTTGTATTAAAAGCACAATCATTTGTACGTTGCAGTTCGGAGGAGCATATTAAAGGGCCCTTTGTGACGCCGACAGATGCCCTTTGTCACGCTTTGGTGACAAAGGTCATCTGTCCGCGAATCGTGAGCCATGGTCTCAGGCAACGGATGAAAATTACCCCGCTTGTTCGTCGCGAGGCAGGTCGTGGCTTGCGGTTGGTTGGCTGACGGGTGCATTTTGTCATTATTCTTTGTAATCTTCTCCTCCTCTATACTGGATGTATTGATGTTTTATCACATTTTTACAAAGAAATTGGCCACACATGACAGTAATTTTGAATGCTATAAGGCTCGTAGATCATTATCATCGAAGAAAGTGCAGCTTTAAGCATCTAACTTGGCTAGAATGCCTCTTTCTAACAAAATCAGAATTTCATGAGCCATTATTGCATCTCTCTCCCCTGTCTTGTACCTTTTCCTTCTCTTTTTCTGTTCATGCATCATAGTCTTGATTTTACGGTACAGGTAATAGTAGTAATCGACTTCCAGTGCATAAACTTTTACTCGCAGTAATTGAAAATTTATAACTTTAATTTTTACTCACCGACTCTCATCGCCTGATAATGTAAAATGACTCCAGAGGAATGTTAATATCCGTACATATGCTCTGCAGGGCAGCTCTCTATCAACAGATTCATGGTATTGCTTTTAGATACTTTATCATTTAATCGGGAAATGTCAAATGTTATTGGCTGCAACAAAGTGAACAATGAGGACCATAGCAATCGCTGGCGAATGAAGTAGCATAGGGGCACATCTGTACAAACGATGAATGAGGAGCATCCATAGTTAAGATCTCTATAGTCGCTGGCAGGCTGAGAACGGCTGGGCGTGTGCCTGGCGCACATAAAATGCCCTAGCGTTATCGAAGGTAGGAAGCTTATGGTGGAGGTGGACCAACTGAAACTCTTCTCTGTCAGTCTCACCCTGCCGGTGGCTATAGTTTCAAGACCCTTGTCCTTCCGAGCGTGGGCTGTCGGTACGGACATTTTTTTTGGTGGAAACATAGATGCGAGCATCGGACATCCTGTTAGGTGGGCCGCACAAATTTTTTTAGCGGTCCGACATGATGGAGCGTTTTTTTCGAGGTTCACGCGAAACAAGTGCATCATGGAGCTGTGGTCCTACGTGAGAATTCGGGATTTTGTGGGGATTACCCGAGGAACGCAACCCCGCGTACCCAGTTGCGGGTCACCACGACACACCCGGCCATGAGTGGACGCCTGCCTTCCTCGCGCATCTCTCATTGTGTACATAGTTGCAGGCGAGCAAAGTGCTTTGTCATTCATCCCGCTGTCCCCCTGTGGTGGTGCACACTTGTGAATAGGACACTCTCCTCTCCCTCATGCTACCTTGGAAAGAAGCATTTGCTCGTTTGTGCATCTTTGAACATAACGCACCTCATTTTTCTGGAATACGGGAATCCATTTTTTCTTTTGTCTTAGGGTGTTGCTGTAAGGACCTCATTGTAGTAGCTGTGTTGCGCATCTTCCCAGAGAGGCGGGCAGCCCCGTGTTTTTTTCAAGGACGGACTGCCCTAGTCATTCATTCCGTCTTTTTGATTGTTACGTTTTTGCCTCTGCGACGAGGGGGCTCTTTCTTCCTCGTTGCATGCACAGGTTGACTTTCCTCTCGCCCTGGCTCAGTGTGTGTTTTGTGCGCCTACGTAGGCAGTGCTGTAAAAGAGCTGCTACCAAGCTGAATATGTCTTACGAGAGAGTAGAAGCTTCTTCAGTTTGTACTGATTTGCGGGAGTTTTGAATGAAAACGTTTTATAAAATAAGCTGAACGAGGTGACGTCCCTCTTTTTTTTGCCAGCGAATGAAGATCCACGGAATCACATGTGATGTGGCGATTTTCTGTGGTTCCATGAACCCTCACGAAGCAAGCAACATTGGAGATCAATGGGCTTGCAATCCAGATGTGCTCTTGAACATAGTTTGTCAAGAAGGTTTTAATAATAAATGCGTTAGAATGAAAAATCCTGAGCCATTCCACTTTGTGAAGGTAGATGACCAGCGAAGCTGTTTTATCACACGACACAGACGTGACAGAATGTTGAACAAAGGTACAAACACATTTATTGTCTTGATCGGTGGTCATCGTGACGAAAGGTACGCACACATTTATTGTTGTCTTGATCGGTGGGTCATCATTTGCATGGTACCTGCATGCGTCTTTGTGATGTGTTCTGCGCCCCGCGACATTCGTTGTCTGGTTTCCCGCATGCGCTTGGCGTACTGTGAACGGTCTTCATTGGTGGTATTTGCCGCCTGCCGCCGCCGCTGATATTCTTGTTGCCGTTACCGCCGTTGTTCTTCGTAGGCGCGTTGCTTTCAGTCTTGGGTAAGTTACTTTTAAAAAATAATTCTTTTCAGTCAGTTATTTTAAAAAAAAGTTGCGAAGTTACCGTTATAGTTACTGCAACAAAAGAGTAACTCATTACACTTCTAAGAAGTTATGAGATATGCTTTTTACTTTATATTGTAACTTAGCAGCAGTTGCTTCTTTAAATTAGTGTCTGAACGTTTCCTTCGTTCGATGGCAAACACGTCCCTGCCCTTGCTGGACAGGCGCTCAACTAGCACGCTGGATGGAATTGCTGTGTTGTGTTGCAAGAACAGGTTTTTGATAGCCGGGTAGGCGTTGAGGCAACAGAGTGACGTTTCCTCCAAAGTTTCATTTCTCCACCCTTGCGCCTCACTGGTAGACAAGGTTGGGGTGCAGTTGAAAAAAAAAAAAAAGAATCGTCATGTCGATTGGCTTTTTTGTCAATGTTCCTTCTTTGCTGGCAGCAGCATCCTCTCTTTGACATTCGTCACCTAACGTCTGGAGTACGAAATCACGTTTGTCGTCATCTGTCCATGACAACCTAAATTTGGGGCGTACTACGGCAACCGCTAGTCTATGCCATAGGACACCACGCCGGAGTAGTGGCGCAAATCAAATTACGAAACTTGCGCAATGCGGAGTGGTGGCGCTAATCAAAATATAAAAAATGCACAGTGCCCCCCGCGTGTATTGTTTCTCGGTTGATTCACTTGATTAAAAAGTGTTAGCGAAGAAAAAGGAGACCGCAATTTAGATAGTGCTTCAAGATATACTAAGATGTAAGTGTTCAGTCACAAAGTACAAGCTCGTGCATACAGATAACTAGATTTTTTTTTCATCAAATCTACGCGTGCCTATATTTGATTCGTGACTCGCGAGAAAGAACGTATTCACAAGTTTCTGCAAGGCCAGCTTGACACTCGAAATGTCGGAACAGACAATTTGGAAAGTGCAAGAAATAGCTAGATTGCACTCGTTCAATGACATTATTCATAAAAACGGGAAGTAAACAAAAGTAACGTCATTCCTTTCATTGTTACCTCAGAAAAAATAATAGAACTAGAGTTAAATTTTTAAAAAAGTAACTTGTTATAAGTTAACAAAAAATATGAAAGCCGTTTACAACTTCCTGTCACGCCGAATTAGAGCGCAGCTCTTGAGGAGGAGGAGGGAAGGGTACTGGGGGGAAGGTAATCCCCTCCCTCATTACGTCATCCTCTCTGCTACCCCGAGCGCCGTCGCCTCACGAGGGTCGCGTGACCTCACGGGGTCATGTGACGTCACCGGGGTCACGTGGCCCCTGTGAGGTAACGTGACGATAACGCCACCAATGACGTCATCAGTGACGATGCGAATGCCGATGACGTCATCAGTGACGTCACTGATGACGGCATCAGTGACGATGGAGATGACGGCATCAGTGACGATGCAGATGACGTCATCAGTAACGCACTGATGATGTCATCAGTGGCGATGCGGATGCCGATTACGTCACTGATGATGTCATCAGTGACGATGATGCCAATGACGTCATCAGTGACGCAATCAGTGGCGATGCCGATGACGTCATCAGTGACAATGGCAATGACGTCATCAGTGATGTCACGGGTCCCATAATGCACTGTGCGGTTACGCCGACGCTGCTCAAGCCGGAAACGGGCGCATAAGAGCTGCGCTCTAAAAGTAACAAAATCACACTAACGCATTACTGGGAACGTGTTACTACCTAAGACTGATGGCTCTTTGGGAGTCCGGACTATACACGGCCTCCCCATTACGACAAGAGAAGGGAAATTGAAAATGGAGAACGGCAACTTGCTGGTTCTTTATATACATTCGCGTGGACAATTATTGTTGTTCCGAGGAGCCGGAGGAAACGACGCGCAACCAGGTGTCGCGTGCCACCCGGTTGTGGGTCGCGCGAAATTCGGAACCTGACTTTGTTGACGTACATGAAAAATCCACAGAACCCTAGCCCCCCATAAACAGCTTCTCTGTAAAAACTAAGTGAAACCCGGTTAGAACGAACCCGCGTACAGCGAATTATTGTCAATAATGAACTCGTGGAAAATTAAATAATGCATGTAAAAAGTACTTTTTATTGCTTCCAAAAACGCGCAAACAACCGTCTTCTTGACTGCCCCTCCCCCCCCCCCCCCACCAAAAAAAAGAAAAAAAGGAAAATTCTGAAAGCTCAAGCCGCAAACAAAATTGAGCGAAGGGGAGAAAGCTAAAAAGACACCGCACGTACGCTCACAAGAAAAAAAACTTTTCATGCCAAAGCGGTTCCCCACGAAAAGAAGCAATTCAAAAAAAGAAATAAGAACAAAAAAATCTGCACACATGCAAAAAGGAATAAAAAATTCCAGCGCGTTGTTACAAGGCGGAAGCGAAGGGATGAGAAAGAAAAAGAAGCGCTCGCCTTACAACGAACGCTTCGTGAAAGTTTGTTGTAGATGGTTGTTGCTATATCAAACTACTTGCTATACCGAACTGATCGTAGCGTTTCCTGCTGTTTGTTATAAACGGGTTTGACTGTAACTGTGGCAGAACACATAGCTACAGTTTCCAGACCAATGGTTCTCAAATGCGGGACCGACCCTTTAAGGTCCCTAAAGCCTTCTTGGGGTCCCCTAAGGCCTTGATCATCAGTGAAGCTAATCAATAAAAAAAATAAATAGACCAAGTCGTGTGTCGAGTGAGTGCAGCTAATTATTCTCCGTTTCAGAGCATCAAACTTGGTTTGCAAGCATTTAGTTATCTTCATTTTTTTTGTCATTGTCATTGTAATTTTTCTCATTGTCATCATGAAATACCCCTCTTCATTTCCAATGAATGGGGTCCGCCATCACCTTCGCTGATTCAGAGGGGTCCCAAAGCATAAGTAATTGAGCACCACTAGTCCAGACTACCGGTCATGTGCCCTTGACTGGTAGCGAAAATTAGGGAGTTCGCATCCCTTGGCTAGCACTGAAGTGGCTTTGGGTTTGTGTTCCACTGCTAGCAATGCGTTTTTCAAGAGTTCCTTATTCGAATGTTTCCTTTGAAATGAATTGTTTATTTGCACATTTGGGTTGAGGGGATAAAGGACACTCCCGTCTAAAGGCAGTACTGAAGCTGAAAAAAGGAGTTTGTTGAATGACACTCCATTTGCCACGAAGAGGAGTGGTGACCATAACTTTAGAAGAACTTTGGTCGGGAAGTTTTCGAAACAGCAGATGCTGAGTTCCGCTGATAACTATACTCCGTTTCACCTTCCGTCCGAGCACAGCGGACGGTAGGAGCCATCCCAGCCAATGCGGCGTTGAGGGAGTGTCATGCGACCTTGAGCTCCCTGTGTCGCCCCGCCCCACCGGCAGGTCACGCGATTATCTCCCGGCGCTGGATCGGCTGGGATGGCTCATGGCGTCCACTGCGCTCGGACTGAAGGTGGAATGGAGTATAGGCAGCCCTCGGCCGGAAGGTATTTCTAAAATTACACAAACTGCATAACTGTGTGCTGTGCAGATTCCTAGTTAACCAATAAACCCTTTTCTAAAGTCCATCGAGCAGCATTGGCGGTCGCCATTGTTTGGGCAAGAAGCGTGTGATTAGTCCGAGTCCTCACCGAACGCTGACGCAGTACTCGTTTCCTATACAAGCCGTGCAGAGTTCATGTATTAGACATGAGGGCGCTGGTGCAGCCTTCATGTCCAGTACATGCTTGGAGTGCGTGACCAAGCAATGGCGGACAGGCGATGGCATGGGCTCTCGAAAATAGTCTATTCTACGGCAGGAGTATAAGTAAATCCTCGTTAATTAAAAGTAATAAAAACTAGAAAAAAAGTGAAAGCCGCTTACAACTCCCTGTAACGCCGAATTAGAGCGCAGCTCTTGAGGAGGGAAGGGCACTGGGGGGGGGGGGGTTAAACTAACCAGGGGGGGTCACGTGACCTTGGGAGTCACGTGACCCCCGATGCCGATGATGTCGTCACTGATGACGTCATCAGTGACGATGACGATGCGGGTACCGATGACGTCATTAGTGACGTCACTGATGACTTCACTAGTGATAATGTGTGTGTGTAAAACGTTTAATGAAAACGATGACTTCACTAGTGATAATGACGATGACGATGCGAATGTCGGTGACGTCATCAGTGACGTCGCTAATGACGTCATCAGTGATGATGACGATGCGGATGTCGGTAACGTCATCAGTGACGATGCGGATGCCGGTGACGTCATCAGTGATGATGACGATGCGGATGCCGGTGACGTCATCAGTGATGATGACGATGTGGATGCCGGTGACGACATCAGTGACGTCACTGATGACGTCATCAGTGATGATGACGATGCAGATGTCGGCGGGGGTCACGTGACCTCGAGTAGGGGGTCACGTGACCTCAGGGGAGTCACGTGACTTCGGGGGGTCACGTGACCCCGGTGAGGGGCTCGCGCGAAGCATAATGGGACATTTCCCATGATGCACCGGGGTCACGTGACCTCGGGGGGGTCACGTGCCCCCCCCCCCCACGAGGTCAGGTGACCCCGGTGGGGGGCTCGCGCGGTGCATTATGGGACATTTCCCATGATGCACCGCGCGGTTACGCCGACGCCGCTCAAGCCGGAAACGGGCCCCTAAGAGCTGCGCTCTAAAATTGACAGC